CAGCAGCAGCAGCGTTCTGCGCCTTGATCGCCGCGTACAACACGTACACCTCCGACAAAGACAACGCAGCGCAGCCCTCCGGCCGCGGAGGCAGCAAAGTGCCCAGGTCCAGCTCCCCGCGCTTCAGAATTGCACAGAGAGCTGCGCAGTAGCTGCCGCGGCACTGCCAGTAGACGAAGTCCACGAACTCCAGCAGGTGGTTGCCCAGGTGCAGCAGCACGCGCTGGCTGCGCAGCAGCTCCGCCTCGCTGCTGTACAGAAACGTCCGCCGCCCCTCCGTCTCGCTGCTGCTCAGCAGCTGCAGCAGCTCCTCGCACGCAGCCCGCGCCGCCTCCAAAGACTGACACGCACCAGCAGCAGCAGCAGCGGCAGACTCAGAGCCCCACCGCCGCACTCACGTGCCCAGCAGCGGCAGCAGCAGCAGCAGCAGCAGATCCGCATCCCCAGCAGCACCAGATCCACATCCCCAGCAGCAGCAGATCCACATCCCCAGCAGCACCAGATTCGCATTCCCAGCAGCACCAGATTCACATCCCCAGCAGCAGCAGATTCACATTCCCAGCAGCAGCAGATTCACATCCCCGGCAGCAGCAGATTCACATTCCCAGCAGCACCAGATTCGCATTCCCAGCAGCAGCAGATTCACATCCCCAGCAGCAGATTCACATTCCCAGCAGCACCAGATTCACATCCCCAGCAGCACCAGATCCACATCCCCAGCAGCACCAGATCCACATCCCCAGCAGCAGCAGATCCACATCCCCAGCAGCACCAGATTCGCATTCCCAGCAGCACCAGATTCACATTCCCAGCAGCAGCAGATTCACATTCCCAGCAGCACCAGATCCACATCCCCAGCAGCAGCAGATCCACATCCCCAGCAGCACCAGATTCGCATTCCCAGCAGCAGCAGATTCACATCCCCAGCAGCAGATTCACATCAGCAGCAGACTCCCATCCCCATCAGGACCAGATTCACATCAGCAGATTCGCATCCGCATCCCCAGCAGCAGCAGATTCCCATAAGCAGCAGATTCCCATAAGCAGCAGATTCCCATAAGCAGCGGATTCCCATAAGCAGCGGATTCGCAGCAGGAGCAGCAGGAGCAGCAGTAGCAGCAGGAGCAGCAGGAGCAGCAGGAGCAGCAGGAGCAGCAGAAGGTCCCGGGAGTCACCTTTGCTGCGTCGTTTTGGGGGTCCGGGTGGTGCCTCTTGCCGACGGCGAAGAGTGCGGCGACGGCGCCGGGCTGCTGCTGCTGCTGCTGCTGCTGCTGCGTCTTGGTGGCGATGAGGTGCAGCAGCAGCTCGTGAATGCGGGCGAGCCGCGCCACGGGCGCAGGCACTGCAGCAGCAGCAGCAAAAGTGAAACTCACCGGCCGGTGCTCGTGGCCCAGCACGGGAGGGAAAATGCGGCAGAGTCCTTTTTCCGTGAGGACTCCGGCGCAGGCCTGGCGCAGCAGCGGCGCGTTCTGGAAGCAAATGACTCCTTCCAAAAAGCCGACTTTGCGGCCTTCTCGCCAGAGCTTTTCGCGGAAAAAGGAAGAGAAGTGGTCCAGTGGACCTTTTTGCACGAAGTCCGAGTCGTAGAGTTTGAAAAACGGCAGCCAGCACTCTCCAAAGAGCTGCGGAAGGTCAGCAGCAAACAGAAACGAGTGCAGCCGCAGCCGCAGGTAGTGCTGCCGCAGCTGCTCCACCGTCGACTGCAGCTGCAGCGTCGGCAGCC